CTTTTGCCTCTGCCTCCCAAGTAGCTGGGACCACAGGCGCCCGCCACAACGCCCGGCTATTTTTTGGTTGCAGCCGTCATTGTTGTTTGGCGGGTCCGAGCTGGGGATTTGAACCTGCCACCTTAGGTGTACGTGGCTGGCGCCTTAGCCAGTTGAGCTATAGGCACCGAGCCAGGGCAATGATTTTCATCTGTACACCGGTGTGTCCATGAGAGGATCTTAGGTGTACTATGAAAAAAAAAAAATAATAATTTTTTTAGAATCTCACTCTATCACCCAGGCTAGAGTGCTATGGCATCATCATAGTTCACAGCAACCTCAAACTCTTGGGCTCAATCTTTCTGCCTTAGCCTCCTGAGTAGCTGGGACTATAGATGCCCACTATGCCCAGCTAATTTTTTTATTTTTAGTAGAGATAGGGCTCTTGCTCTTGTTCAGGCTGGTCTTAAACTCCTGAGCTTGAGCAATCTACCCTTCACAGCCTCCCAGAATGCTAGGATTACAGGTATGAGCCACCGTGCCTGGCCTATGCTGTGAAAAAAAAAATTTTTTTTGGAGACTGTCTCACTATGTTGTCCTTGGTATAGTGAAGTGCCATCCCAGCTCACAGCAACCTCCAACTCTTGGGTTTAAGCGATTCTCTTGCCTCAGCCTCCCAAGTAGCTGGGAATACAGGCGCCCACCACAAAGCCTGGCTATTTTTGGAGCGGAGGGTTGGGGGCGGCCAGCTGGGGGTTGTAGTTGTCATTGTTGTCTGGCAGGCCCGGGCTGGGGTCTAACCTGCCAGCTCTCGTGTATGTGGTAGGTGCCCTAGCCGCTGAGCTCCAGGCACCGAGCCTAATTATTTTTCTTATTAACACATGTTAAGGCCATGAAAGTTTAACTATGGGTTCAAGTGTGCGGTGAGATAAAAAAAGGTTGGAGAACAGTACTGCAGGGTTTGCATAGGTGTAGAAGTCTGTAAATGCAAACAGTGTTTCCTCGGAACGCTGCCCACTCACCCTCTTTCCTGTGTTGTCTTTTGACTCCTTTGGTCTCACCCGGATCCCAGCAGCGAAGAGCATTCAGGTTTGTGTTCAGATGCTGCAACTGCTGTTCCTGGTGTCTTGACAAATACCTGCACCATCTCAACCAGGTATGGCTCCTACGTGTGCCCCAGAGACGCACCAGGGTCCAAAGGTTCCATTTCTTAGGCCAGAGTTTGGCACATTCTTCCGTAAAAGGTTAAATTGTGTAAATATTTTAGGCTCTGGGGCCAAACAGTCTCTGTTGCAACCACTCCCCTCTGCCATCATGGCAGGAAGGGGGCCATAGACGAAATGTAAATGAATGGCCGTGGCTCCCATAAAACTTTATTTATGAATGCTGAAATTTGGATTTCATATGATTTTTATGTATCGAGAAATATTCTTCTTTTTAAATTTTTTTCCTTAACCATTTTGCAACTATAGAAATCATTTTGGCTCTTAACAAAGGAGAGCAGTAGGGATTTTGGAGCTGGCCCTTGGGCTGTGTTGCAGATCCCTACCTCCGAGGCCATTAAGCTATGCTGCATATATTCTAAAAGAAACATGTTTCCCTTTTCAGAAAAAAAAAGGGGAGGAAGTCTTTAGAAACCCTAACATAATGAGTATACACCAACTAAGAGCTAATTTGCAGTGTCTTCTCTTAAGAACTATAATTTTCCTGAACTAGGAAAAGAATTATCTCCCTAATTTTTATACATTTCACCGGTCTTTCCATTTTGAGCTATAAATATTCCTTTAAAAACCATAAAAATTATATCCTGCAATTGTTTGAATTTCAGAGGTTTTCTTCCTCTCCAGAATCTTTCAAATGGTTAGAAATTTAAATGTTTATTTTTCTATAGCGCAGTTAGGAAATGTTAATAGCCTTTAGTCAAATTTATACAAAGCGGTGTTTTTGTAAGTTAGAAGGCTGTTGTTTTAATTTATTCACAGAACTCTCACTTAGAAAAACACTTCATATTATTTCCCCTTTACCTAACATATGCACCATTAGAAATAAAGATACTTATTAGACCATCCATGACATTAATTGTGGTATTCAGAACACCTTGCATTATGCAGGGGAAAGTGTAGCCTTCTTATAGTAAAGCTCTATTTTTAAGCTTAGAAATCTTGGAGTAGGGCGGCACCTGTGGCTCAGTGGGTTGGGTACTGGCCCCATGTACTGAAGGTGATGGGTTCAAACCCAGCCCCGGCCAAACTGCAACAAAAAGATAGCTGGGTGTTGCAATGGGCACCTGTAGTCGCAGCTGCTCGGGAGGCTGAGGCAAGAGAATTGCCTGAGCCCAAGAGTTGGAGGTCGCTGGGAGCAGTGTGATGCCACGGCACTCTACTGAGGGTGATAAAGTGAGACTCTGTCTCTACAAAAAAAAACAAAGAATCTTGGAGGAGTATATTTTAAAATGTATGTTAAACCAGCCTTGCATCTTTTAAAATGTATTCAGTTTTCATTTGGATTGCTACAAGCTAGTGTATATAAAACACAATAAAATACTATAGGACCTTTCCGAATGGGGTGTCTTATAACAAGTCAAGCCAAGCCCTATGAATACTCTGATCACAGTGTAAGATGCTGCCTCTCTCTTTTTAGAGCTGTGTGCATGTGTACAAACAACATAAACTCCATAAAGAGTTTGAGATGCATTACAAAAATATATTAACTATGATAAAATATATATGCATAAAAATCAAGCCTAAGAAACAGACTAGAAAGACAAAAGCCACAAATGTGACCACTGATACACAAATAGGTCCCGGCGTGTGGGTTCCACAGGTCCCGAGGTTGCCGCCACCCTTCTCACTGTACTATGGAATGTAAGGTTCTATCTGCTTCCTTCCTCCGCTCCTAGTTTTCATACTGCCCCAGGGAAGCCTAGAGGCTCCTTGGAAATGCTGCAGGGACCACAACTTCATGAGAGGAAAGAAATGGGTGAGGAGAAAGAAGGGTGGGCTCTGGCTCCATCCCACTGCCCCCTGGCCTTGCCACTGAATGTTTCACCTAAAGACAAGACTCTGCTGCGGAGAGGGAAAACCACCACATTTTCACATTTGTGTCTCTGCATTGTCATCCTAAGGGACATATCTTCTGCCTCTTGGAGTTTCACCATCTTATATTAACCCGGAAACTTTTTCCTGTGGAAGTTCAAAATATTTCCAAGATCACAATTAATGTTAATATTAACCACACTGTAATTACCATTGTAAAGGTGATGAATCCTTATAACAGATTGGCACTTACAGTACAATGGGAATAATTTATTCTTGATTCACAAGAAGTTAGCCTTTATCCAGCCCCTGTAGTGACTTAGCAGTGCAAACAGAGATAGGTCTTTAAGATTCTAACCATGGCTTGGCGCCTGTAGGTTAGTAGTTAGGGCACCGGCCACATACACCATACACCGGACTGATGGGTTTGAACCCAGCCCAGGCTTGCTAAACAACAATGACAACCACAACAAAAAGAAAATGAATCAATGTGAATGTTAATGAATTCACATTAGGCTCGGCGCCTATAGCTCAACTGGCTAAGGCGCCAGCCACGTACACCTAAGGTGGCGGGTTCGAATCCCCAGCCCGTACCCGCCAAACAACAATGATGG